AACGGCTCCGTGTGCCCATCCATAGGGATGTCAAGCAGGGTCATTCTCCCCCGGTCAGGCTCCCATCAGAGCCAGCTCACAAGCCCTGCCCGTGCAAGGCGAGCGGGACTGTCCCCAGCGCCACTCATCAAGCTCTGCGGCGGAGGCGAGCACAGGCAAAACGGGTGATAATTTCATTTCCCTTGCAAATGAAGCCCTGTTCCTTCCCTGACCTCGTCACCAAGTGCCTAAGCACTCGATCAATATGTATAAGTTCATGAAGGGGAATGTAGGGAGGAAGGGGCCAGGCTCTTCTCATTGGTGGCCAGTGAAAGGACAAGGGGAAATGGGTGTGAGTTGAAACACACAGTTCCATCTTGAGGTGAGGAGGAACTTCTTTCCTGTGAGGGTGGCAGAGCCCTGGCACAGGCTGCCCAGGGAGGCTGTGGAGTCTCCTTCTCTGGAGGTCTTCAAAACCCGCCTGGATGCAGCCTGTGCCACATGCTCTGGGCGTCCCTGCTGGAACAGAGGGGTTGGATTGGATGATCTCCAGAGGTCCTTTCCAACCTTGAGCATTCTGTGATTCTGTGAACTTGCTTGTGCCAACAAGCACAGTTCCCTCACGCCTTACCTGAAGGTGAAGGTGAAGGTCTCCCATTCACACAAGCTGTGGCTCCATTGCCTTTACCAGTTCATCTCAGTTTGAGCCTGAGCTCACTGGAAGTGTTTTTTCCTCTAAGGGGCGTTTTTGCACTAAAATGTGATCAAAGAGCTGCAGGTTCGCTGCAGATCAGAGGCCGGGTGCAGGACTGGGGCTGTTTGTGTTCTTTTTGCACATCTCTGACCTCCTCTTGTTGAAGCTGCAGGTGGGTTTGGAGGCTAGGACATGGGCCTCAGTTTCCCCAAACATTCCCTCAAGGACAGCAGTCTTGAATGTCTGTGCACCATAGGCATACAGAGATACTTCTTTCCATTTTACCTTGGTTTTCCAAAGTCTCACTTTTCTAAGAGACTCCTTCCTTAGCCCAGGTCCTCCCGGACACCATTGGCACCCAGGTGTCCCCCAGCGCCAGGGATCCGCTCCCGCTTCCCTCTGGCTCCGCATTCTGCAGTGCAGCTCCATTCCAGCTTAGACAGCAGGCAGAATCCAGCACAACTTTCATTAATTTCTGATGAATAATTAAACCCTGGGAAGTTAATACTTTTCCTTTACTTAAAAATTCCAACTGCAATGTTTGTAATTACTGTTTTATTGGAGCATTAAAAATTAAAGGGCATCCCTAGGGTGCGGGCAGCACAAGAGCCCCACGCGGGCCCCAGAGGAGAGGGGACTGGGATGCCCAGCGGGCACGAAGAGCAGCCCCATCGAGGTGCCGGGAATGAATTCATCGCCCCCCAACCCACCAAGCCCCAGGAATACAGACTCCCCAAGCAGGCTGGCAGCCTGCAAAGCTAAACAAGCAAAGCCCAGACTCACAGAACGTTCAAGGTTGGAAGAGACCTCTAGGGATCATCTAGTCCAACCTTCCTGCTCCAGCAGGGACAGCCAGAGCACGGGGCACAGATAAGGGAATGACTAAAGGTATCGCTGCACCTCGTAGCCAGGCTAACCAGGGGCTGTTCTGCTAACAAGCCTTTATAGGCTCCAGCTGCTCTGCTCCTGCTCTTCCTCCTCCTCCTCCTCCTCCTGCTGCTTCCTGCTCCCTGGTGTCTCCATCTGCCACCACTGGGAACAGATAATGAAGGGCGGAAAGTGCCGCGGGGCCCCGAGGCCCGCACTGCTCCATCCCATCTCTTCCCACTTGGGCTTCTCCTCGTCTCCGGTGCTGGAGCCCCATTTGCAGCCCCTACTTTGAGGGAGCCGCCCGCTGGAGCAACCCCCCCCCCCGCCGGGAACAGCCCCCCAGGGTCCCCAGCTGGTTGCCATGGTTTCCATGGCAACAGATTTTCGACCACCTCAGCGGTTTCCATGGCAACGAGGCTCCATCCTCCCCAGCCCAGCAGCGGCTCCGCCAGCCCCAGGGTCCCCCCTGCAGCCGCGTGGAGGTTTCTTCCATCCGCATCCCGGCCGCTTCCCGCTCTGCCTGCCGGAGCACAGGGAGCAGGATGTGCATGAGGAAGACCTCGGTGTCCTGGAGGAGGAAGCACCTTGCTGGCGCATCCTTCTTTTGGGATCCGTTTTCCCTTCGGGAAATGCCACTTGGCTGCAGTGGCGATGCCGGCACTGGAGAAAACTGACTCTGCACCCAGTGCTTTTCTACCACCGTTAATGCAGACAGTGCAATGGTTGCTTGGGGTGGAAAGATGATTAACCACCATAATCCCAATTACATCTTCTAATTGGGATTAATTTGTTGAGTTAATTAAGTGTGAAAGCACCTCCCACATTTCTTTTATGAATTTATTTCTCCTAGCCTCAGGCTCTGCCTTGAGCCCTCGGACATAGCTGTGAGGGCAGCAATTTGGGCGCTTTTGCATTGAGATGCTGAGGTTGCCAGCGGAGCTCAGCACGGTTTGCACTGCTCCACCAGTCCAGTCCAGCATCCAGAACATGGACTTCATTTGGTCCCAAACTAGAGTCAGCAAGATCTGTAGGCATTGCACTAAGATGAACTTCCAGACTGGCTCCAGACCCAAAGCCAACCCCAACCAAGCTTTTCCAAGAGGGGAATGTCACTTGAGCCCTGGGCATGGGCTGGCGGTTGATGAGCATCTTCATGCATAGAGCATTGAGCAAGTGGAGGTTGGACTCTGTCATGTCACTGGCCTTCCCTTCTCCAGGTACCTTCACCTTGCGCACAACCACAGCCAGGTCTGCAGGTCTGGGGGAGTCACTTGTGGTTTGGAAAGAAATGCAAGGATGCTTTGGCTTCCCAATCTCAGGGCGTCATCAGCCCTTCCCCTGGCTTCCTACTGCGCCTGAAGCCGGGTCTTCACAGCCAGAAACTTGTCAACATCCTGCAGGATGAGCATGGAGGTGAGGCTGGGGAGCCCGGGATACAGCCGGGGCCGTCAGGTGCCACGCGGTGGAAGCCGCATCTCCTCCTGCCTTGGAGGTGCTGCCAGCTGCTTTGATTCCTCAGATGAAAGGAACTAAATTGGGGCAGGCTGTTATTTCCCATTTCCTTGCTTGTATTTATAGACAGGCTCTTACATCTGGTGTCTCTCTCTCTCCTTTTTTAAAAAAATCTGGGAAGAATCATCTCTCCTGCTCCAGCCTGGTCCCTGAAACCACCCAGGGCTGCATTCCCGGCCATCTCATTGCACCAGGGCAGCAATGGGGGGTCATTTTCCTTTGCTACCCTCAGCAGTTTTGCTGTGCTTTGGGTGTTGGCATTTATCTGCCTGGGAATAACAGCGAAAAGGCCCTATCACTCCCCAGATATATATATAAATATATTGATCTGGAGCTTTAATGGCTTGCCATTGATGAGGCGCCGTGAGGGACATTGGGCGGTTTTATCTGAGTCGGTGACAAAAGGAGCGCGGCAGCTTTGAGAGGGACATTGTCCCCCTCCTCCCGCCTTTCTGCCACACAGGAGAAAAAGAAAAAATAAAAGGAAAAAAGGCAAAATGTCACCGCTTTTTTCACTCCATAGGGCTGAGCACTGATTTCCTTTTCTTTTTTTTCCCCCAATTTATTAGCTTTCTTTGTGGCTCCAGCTTTGCCAAGAGGGGCGCGGGCGGGAGGCAGGAGGGAAAAGGCGCCGGGTTATTTTGGGAAGTCCTTCCGAAGGGCGAGACTAATCGCGTGGCAGCAGCGAGACAGGGCTCAATTAAAGCGCGACCTCGCGGTCCGAGAGGCGGCGGTGCCGACCGTTAGATGTCTTTGTCAGGGGACACGCGGCAGCCGGATCCATCACCTGGGGAAACAAACAGCAGCGCTCGCGTCTTGGGCAGCTCCTCGATCCAGCGATAAACCCGTTAGGGGAAAATGAATGGGCTGCTCGCGCCTGGACCGGCCACGTCGCAGATGCAACTTGCCCCTTGGCCGAGAAGCAGCCACGAGGAGGGAAAAGCCGCTTAAGCATTCCCTAATAACCCCCGGATAAGCCGGAGTGGCCCTATTAGCTCTGTCCTAGTCTGGTTTACGGCCCTCAGAGGAAAATCATGATGAAATTAAAGGATTTTTAATATGGGGCAAGTGCTGCCGTGTTGTGGACACCCTGCTCCTGGACGGGCCCCCAGGCCCTTGCAGGGGAGGCTTTGGATGGCACCGCCGTGGAAGGCAGGAGAGAAAAAAAAATCCAAATAATAACTTCTGGGCAGAAACACTACAGAGAGCGAGAGGCTTGGAAACAAAATCCCCCGTAGCAATAATTTCTGGGCATGAAAAATGGATTTCCAGAACAACGGCAGCCTTTCGACGCGCCTGTCCTGGTTTCCGCAGACTCCCCAGGAGGCAGCAGGCTGAAAACCCTCTTTGGAGGCTCTGTCCTGCGGGGATGTCCCAGCAAGCGGGACGCAGAAAAGTCCCTCGAGGAGCGGCTAGAAAGCCCCATGTCTGGGATCGGGGGCAGAGGAATGATTTTGAACCCTCTTTCCCCGCTTTTACCCCAGCTCTTCCATGATGGTGCTGCAGAAGCTGCCCCAACCCAGCACATCCAGCTCCGTGGCTGCTCCCGCAGTGCCAAGGAGGCTGTTATGGTCCCAGGGACAGAGTTACCAGCGCTGCCCGCTTGTAAATTCCCAGATTCCCTCCCCTCTGCCAGCTCCTGCCCTGGTGCTGCCATCAGCTGCACGCTCGCCCGCTGTCGCTTTGAGACAAGGATGAAAGGGGCCACAGAAAGGCACCGAGAACGGTTATTAAGCTCCGCCAAGAGAGGTTTTTTCCTATTTTTATTTATACACATGCTTGCTGCAAGACACAGAAATTACTTAATCAATCCTCTCTGTCGCGGGCTGGATGGCGGCTGCCTGCACAGCTCTGCACTGACAATGACAAATTGCTCCGAGGCGACGGCAGCGACTCGGGCACGACGGCCTCACCGCGGTGGGAACGTGACGGGGAGCGCAGTGGGATCAGGGAGCACCAGATTCCACCACCCTGTGGCCGGATCCCTGAGCATCCCACCACTGAGTGGGTGAGGAGGGGGAAACCGAGGCACGGGCTCCATCTCACCACCTTCTCCCCCACAACGTGGGGTTTGTGCCACCTCTCTCCCGTGGGCTCCGATGCGCCTCAGCACTCCCCAAAGGAAAAACACCTCAGCTTCTCCTAAGCTTTAAGGTCTGGGATGCAATTCCCAGGCTGGGACTTGCTCAACCTGCATTTCTACAGCATTTCAGTGTCTCCCCACCAAGTCCTTCGGGGCTCTAATCCCCCACAGTGATCCCAAAGACCCCCCCGCAGCTCCGGGCAGCTCTTCACTCGCACTCACGGACACATCTCTTTCTGCACTGTCCCATTTGGCACTGGCAGAGCCCGGTGCCCGGCCTTGTTGTCCCCACAGAGGATGGGACCAAGCTGTCCCCCGGGGTGGCCCCAGCCATGTTCTCCCCATCCTTTCCTCTCCCCACAAAGCGCCTTTGGCAGCAGTTGCCGAGGCCGGTGGAGCCCCGTGCACCCCAGTGAGGTGGCAGCTGGGGACCCTGCGTGTCCTACCCAGGTGCAGGACGAAGAGCAGCCCCCTTGGTCCCTGGGGCAGGTGACAGACCCCTCTGGGGCCACTCGTCTTCTCCAGCCTTCCTAAGCTACAGGGACCATCCCGACTTGGGCACCAGGATCCGCTCTGTGATCCGAGCCACTCATGCTAATCTGGTCCCAGTGGAGATGTCCAACATCCCACTGAATCTGCCCGAGCCCGGCTCTTTCCGTGAACTCCTCCTGGCACCAGGTCCTCTCTCCCCTTTAATTTATCACTTGTAGGGATTTAAAAAAATAAATAAAGAAAACAACCTGGGATGTTTGAAGAGGATGGAAATCCTGAAACAGGAAATCCTTGTCCTGCTGCAGGGATGGGGGGAAGGAACCCCCCGCCCGGCTCCCCTCTCCCGGCCACCCCAACCCAGCACCAACGCGGCCGGGGAGGGCTTGCCCCGGGGAAGAAACACCTCGAGAACACCTTGCGCCTCGAGAAGAAACACCAGGATCTTCTGAAAGAACGGAAGGAAACGTGAGGGCATCCGCAGCCGACGGGCGGCCCGAGGGACCCACGGAGTCCGACATCCCGGCTCGCCGCAGCGGGAGCCGCGTCCGCCCGCGGCGGCAGCTTCGAGCAAAGCCCCCGGCCGGGGCCGCGTCACAAGCAGTCCCGGCACAGAGCCACTTGTCCCTCGCGGTAGTCGCGGCAGGGGCAGAGGCGCCGGTACTTGCTGTTGAAGCCGGCGCAGCTGAAGAGCAGCGGCTCCTTCTGCAGGTAGCACTCGCGGGCGCCCTCGGCCACCGCCGGGTACAGGTGGTTCATCTCGGCCTCGGTGCTGTCGCAGGCGATGCTCAGCCTGGGGACGCGCACAGCGGGGTCAGGCGGCGGCAATTTCCCCCGAAACGACTCGTTCTGAACATTGCCAGGAAGGCAGCGGGGCTGGAGGGTGAGGGAGCAGAGTGCCAGCGCAATCCCGGCTCCAGCTCTTAATTTATCATATAAAAATGTCACCAGGACTCCAATTGCCTGCCCGGCCAGCGTGACAGAAATGGTAATATTCGCATTTTAATTGTCCGCGGAGCCACACGGAGCCCGGTGGCAGATTTATCCCCTATTAAAACTTCACCGCTGCGCGCTCAAAACACAGTTTTATAGCGAAAGAGATGAAAGAGGGAGCGAGGGAGGGGGTGAACGCGCACAAGGAGCCAGGGGACAGGGCCAAGCTGCTGAAAAAGTCACCGTGGGCTTTAAGGCTGATATGTGCGGGACGCAGGCTCCTTTATAGCCACACAGCGCATGCCAGCGCGGAGGCCACTCTGGGCACAGAGGCCACCTGCGCAGCCCGTGGTAAGGGGGCACAGGGGACACCGGGGGACATAACGGGGCAGGGGAGCAGCACCGGGGACCCGCCGCGGCGGCACTCACTGCAGGAAGGCGTCCTTCGTGTTGAGCAGCTTGAAGAAGGTGGGCTCGCAGACCAGCCCGCGCCGCCGGCACGTCTCGGAGCACGCGTGGCGGCCCTCGGAGAGCCACACCTGGAGGGAGCGCGCGGGCGGCCAGCCGCCGTGCCCGCCGCCCCGCGGCGCCCACACCAGGTGCGTGGCGTTGGGCGCCAGGGCCAGCGCGCCGGGCCCCGCGGGGCCGCCGGCCTCGGGCGCCGCGCAGAAGTCCTGGCGGGAGACGGGATGGAATGGCGGGAGCACCCGTGGGTGTCTCCAGCACCTCCTCCCCACCCTGCTCCCACCTCCCCTGGCCTTTCGGGATCCCCTCCAGCTCCATCCGGGAGCTGCCTGCGTACAATAAAGTGGCCAACCTGGTGCTGGACGTAGGCGTGGATCCTCTCCAGCATCCCCTCGCACGTGTACTCGTAAGGCAGGTAAGGGTCCACCTACGGAAGAGAGAGCGCGAGTGGGGGGAGACAGCCCCAATTTGCAAAAATTTGCAAAACAAATGTGAAATTGCAATTTCTAATTTATGGGGAAAGTACTGGTGAGTAGCACAGTGAAGGATTCACTAAGCATCTAACCAAACAGCAGTTAAAATAACACCTTCCTGTTCTGCTTGATGTGACTTTTCCCTTTTTTGTTCGTGGATTGTAACAGAAACCCCTTTGCCAGCGGCAGGTCCAGATTTCCACCTGGACCATTTTCCTGGGGAGGCCAAACATCACTTGCAGGTGGCATGGGGGACAGGAATCCGAAAAAAAGGGCCATTTTCTGATACTCTCCAGCAGAAAATTTGGAAACTGGGAGCTTTGCACTCCCAATCACCAAAACCTTTTTCTCCCAGCACCAGTGCAAGGTGATTCCCCCTTGCACAGGGCTGAGCGCCTCCTGCTTCCCAAACATCCCTGGGCATCGCCAAGCATCCCTGAACATCTCCACCACACACGGGCTGTGGGCACGCAAAGGATGGGAAGCAGCCTCCGGCTACCGCCTCCCGACTCCGCTGCTATTTATACGCGGCCGGCAGCTCCTTCCCTCCGCTCCAGGCGCCGGAGTATTTTTAGCTCGGGTTACGAAACACTGCCCGTCTCCCCCAGCCTCCTGCCGCTGGCCTGAGCCGCCTCCTACCTGCGCATTTATCTGCTTTTTGCCCGAAAAAATGAACCCCGCGGCAGCCGCCCGCATTTCCCCCTTGGCAGCTGCCCGATACGGAGGAGACGGGAGCCCTTGCCCAGGGCTGGAGAGACCATGAGCTGCAGGAATCCCCAGACCTTTTCCCCAAGCATTTTCCCTCTAGAGCAGCTTATTGTTTAAGGAGCTTCCCAGTAGGTTTTTCTGCCTCTTCCACATTTTTTTCCTTCTTTGGGGGAGTCAGGACATGAGCCCCAGGACCTGCTTCTGCAGACCCCCAGGCATCATTGAATTAGTAAGTGGAAAAATAACACAAGTGCCTGGTCACACGCAGGGACTGCTCCAACCAGCTGTTTTCACCCTGATGTTTGATAATATTGATAAGAAAATGCTCCTGGATAATAAAACGTGCCTGGAGCGGGGATGAGGGTGCAGTCGGGTTCACTTCAAGCAGTTTGGATCCAGAGCGGGTACTGCTCCCCAAGGGACGGGAGCTTGGAGAACTTTGGGGCTGCTCATTAAAAAGCCAGTAAATAACTAAAACCACGCATTGCAAACCCCAGCCACGTCTGTGCCACACTGCGAGCTGCACTCAGGAAGGAGGAAGTCTCTTTTGAGCAAATCCAGGCTGGCGCAGGGACACGGACACTGGCTGCATCTCAACTCCTTCCTGCACCGGGCAGGCAAAGCGCCTGCTGGCCTAATCCCGTGGCATGGAAAAGCACCAACCACCCACGGATGCCCCACACCAACACGGAGACGCTGCTATCCTCCCACCCTGGGCAAGCCCTATCGCCACGTGTTTCAAGTTTGCAAAACCTGAGCTGCAAGATATGTGATTTTCCACCCGAATAATAAAAATAAAACCAAATAAAATCTGTTCCAGATCACTTTTCTATTTCCAGGGGTTTTGCGCATCGGGAATGCGCATGTTTCAGGTTGGGCAATGTGCTGTGTTCGGGGAAAAGCACCGTCTCTGCTAGATGCGCTCCCCTCGGGATGCTCATAAACTGAGCTTTGCTCCTGCGATGCTGAAATGAAACCTTTTGAGTGGAAAAAAAATAATAAATTGACAGAGATTATGCTGTGACACAGACAAATTCACCAAACATTCTGATAACCAAACACACCATTTTTTCCTTGGGGAAGAAGGAGGATTCAGGAAAAGACTTTCACCAAGCCCTGGTACCTGGCTGAAAATAGGAGCATTCATCCACCCGACTCCTGCTTTCCCCCTCCTTTTGTTTTGTGTTCCCGCTGGGGCAAACATTATTCCAAAGACAGGATACCAAGGAATTCCCAAAGCAAAAGCCTATAACAAGGCTTTTAAACTCAGAAGGTAGGTCAGCTTTTGGGCTTGATTGTCTTGACAGCATCACTAACAAAGCAGCCTTAGCAATTAAAAAAAAGGAAGTTGTGGCAAGTTGCTCACATTTGTTCTCTCTTTGGTTTCCCAAGGCTTTATATAATGTCTCTACAAGCTCCAGCTGTAGTTATTAAAGCAGGACACAGGTTTCTAGGGGGGAATACCTTGCCTGCAGGGCACCTGTAACGCCACACAGCCTTTCAGCCACCAGGTCAACCCCTGCTCCTTGACTGACTTCCAGCAGCTCTGCGTGGTGATGCATTTCCCTCTCTAAAGCCCGCGTTTTCCTGAGGGTTGTTGCAAGACACTGGGAAGCTCCAGCAGGACGTGTGCCACCAGCAGTCCCTCTCCTGGGAACCCCTGCCACCCGCGCTGCCAGCTGCCAAGGCGGCAGCAACCTCATTATTTTTCCCTTAATTTTCATCAAGGGCCTGCAACAAACGTGCAAAACAACAACTGCTTTCCCACGTTGCCTTCACTCGGTCTTCACGACCTCTTCTGCTGCAGCCCGGGCAGCTCCCACCGCTGGTGCCTCCTCCTCGCCTCACCTGGGTGCTCATGATCGCCTTGATGGCGGCCTCAAACTCCTCCGAATTGTTGTAGTCCACGGTCCACACGTGAGGCTTCCCAATGAAGGCTTCGGCATAGGGGTGTTGGGAGGACACCTGCGAGAGCGGAGCACGAGCCGTTTGCTCGCGGTCCTGCCGGCACTGGCGCCGCTCTCACAGCGGGGCCGGGCGCTGGGCTCACTCGCGGGCACGTTTTGCTTTAACACGGTCACACATAGACATGCATCCCAAAAAGCCCCTCTCACCTGGACCCAGCTGCATTCCCCACTTTATTGATAACAAAAAGAGCCAATTTCCTCAACATTTTAACTTTTAAAGCATTCCAGCCTCGTTTAGATTGAAATTTCAGCCACAGGCAAGCCTGAGGGGAATTTTGCACTGCTGCAGCTACGCAGAGGTCCTAGGGTCCCGCTTATTTTGCAAAATAATCGCAAGGAGCAGCAAGGAGCAGCTAAGCCCCAGGTTTGGAGTGGGGCAGCCAAGAGACCACACGGGGCTGGGCTTCGTGGTTTGTATAAGCCTCGAACTACTCTTTTGCAAACCCACAACAGGGTCTATCTCAATCAAATGCTCTAGCCTGGACGTGGAGAACGGACAGGGGAAAGGCCATCCCCTCTGGCAAGTATGTGGGCTGCTGGATCGGGAGGAAAGCTCCCCGCACACGGCCCGACTTGCCTCCCGCGACGTCGGCTTCCCGCGGAAGAACTCGTGGTTGAGGGAGCTGTGCGGAGGGTTGAAGCGAGCCTGCAGGAAGACGCAGCCGTTGGCGATGGCCTCCAGCGGAGCAGGACCTTCGTAGGGGAAGCCGAAGCCGATGAAGAGCTGTGAAGAAGCAGGACGCGCTGCTGAGCCAGCCTTGCCCTGGGCTAAGCCCAGGGGAACTCTACTACATAGCCCTCCCGTGCCCCTCTCTGCCACTCTGCTCCACGCGTCCCCATCCCTTCCAATTCCCCATAGCTTAAACGGATTAAAAGCTCCTTCCCGAGTCAGATATTCTACAAAGTTCCCAATCTGCTCGTAAAAGACCTTGGGATGTTGGCACTAGTGGGAGCTGCAACTTGGCTTGCAGCAGCTCGGCTGGGCGCTCTGGTCCTGCATGCACTGGGAACAGGTCACCAGTGAGAACCAGCCCTAGGGCTCCTAGGGAACAGGTCACCACTCTCCTAGGTGGAGAACTGAGGCTGTTCCGCACAGACACTGCCCACGGTCAGCCCTGGGCACGCTTGCACCCCTCAGCGCTCACTCCAATATTGCCATTTACCATCAGCACTGCAGAGGCCACAAATAAATCACTACTTAGCAGATGAATTAATCAAGAAACCTTGTGCTCTGTCTACAGGGAAGGGTTTCTTGGTGCACAATCATGTGCTGGAGGGATCAGCAGCTAACAGCATCTCCCCACCCCTGGCTTTGGCTGGATTTTCTCCCCCAGGACGCTTGCTCCTAAGCCCCCGTGGGCTCGCGCACCTTGGCCTTGCGCAGCAGCTGCTGGAACTCGTGCTGTGGCAGCAGCCCGTGGTTCTTCACGAAGGCCGGCACCTCCGGCGGGCGCTGCGTCTCGTAGTACACCGTGCCATGGATCTCCATGTACTTGTTGAGGATGGCCAGGAACTTCTCCTTGCCCTGGGGAGGGAGGCACGGGGAGGTCAGCCGGAGCGCAGGGCCAGCTCCAAATTCCCTATCCCAAAGCCTCTGGACGGTGAGGGCAGACCTGGGTGCTGAGGCCAATAGGGATGCTCATGCCAGCGGGGATGCTCGTGCTGACCGGCAGCCAAAGGCAGCCCTGGTTGAGCCACAGTGCCAACCTGGGTCCCCACCAGCAGCACCCACACGGAGACCCTCAACGAAAGACAACGGGATTCAGCAGGATGTTGAGAGAGGCTGGAGCTTGCTGATGGCCCATCGTGATAATTAACAACATTCAGGATTTTCTCACTCTTTTTTTTTTTTCCTGTTTTACTATTGGAAAGATTGGAGGACCTCACTTTTTCTTCTCTTGGAGCCTTTCTCACTGCTGCACTCCAAAGCACCTTGCATTTTAACAACTTCCACGTGGCAGAAAATTTTGCTTCAAAGCCACACAGGGAGCCTATTTTGACTGCCATACCTTCAACCCCTTGCAGAGCTGCAAGAGGATCCCCAAAAGAGCAGGGATTCGGAGGGAATAAGGAGGCATAAAGCGGGAGTTTGAGCAGACCCTACATGTTGCTGCCCAGCCTTTCTGCAGACCATACTTGTTGGTCGTGGACTTCTCCAGGGCTAAAAACAAGAGCTGCGTTCAGAGGGAAGAGACTGAGCATCCCTCCTTGCTATGAGACAAGGCTGGGGATGCCTGCATGGATGGGGAAAAATGGCTTTTCCGGACGATGGAAACATCAGCTCCTATCGCAAGTGGAAAGCGGGAGCTTCACGGGGACTGGAAATGAAAAACAACGGGAAGGCAGGTTTAAGTGCTTTGAAATGCCAGAAAGACTGTTTTTAGAGAGCGTGCTTGCTCCAAAGCTTGAAAATAAGTACTCTGAGACATAAGTGTTCCCAAGGAGCCTTAGATGCCCTCTCCTTCCTAGACCTCAGGAGAGCTCGTGGGCAGGCGCACGCTTCCCCCTGTTCTTACACGGGATGTGGGTTCAATAGTTCAGCTCTTTTTAATTCCTTCCCAAGCTGAACCAACCAAGCACTAAAAAAACTCGTGAATAAGAGCAAGAGGGTCAGAAAAAGCAGAATAAAACATAACAGATCCCCTAAATTGCAATTCAGTGAGTTTCCTTTCAGCTAAGGAAAGAAATAATGTAAATATCCTCTCGTGTTTGACTCACAACAACGTACCCCACTGTGTGCTTTGGTTGGCCACAAGACCCAAGAGTTGCATTTACTCAGCACTAAAATGCTCTAATGCAGTGACCACATCTCCTGTTCAACACAAGCCATGTCAGGCTCTCCAAATCCCGGCGGGATCCTGGACCCTGTTAGCCATTGCAGGGAGGACAAAGCTGACAGAGCTGGTAACCAGGGCACAGGGAAGGGATAAAACCAATAGCTGCATTGATTGCGGCAGCGTAGGAGGGCAAAACACAGAAAAAAAAAGGGCAAATTCAACTGCTGAAAAGGCACTTTGCATCCCGAGCAGACATGCAGGGTTAGAGCTCTCCGGTAGCTCCATGCAATACAGTACCTGCAACTGGAACATCCCAGGGCCATGCATAAAGGGGAGAAAAAAGGAAAGGAAAATCAAGACGCGGTGAGAATTTGCTCTTTTTATAACCCTTTGAAGGAAAAGCAGCTGGGTTGCAGCAGGTAAGAGAAGGGGGCAGCTACAGCCACTGCCCCACATGGTACAGCGTGGGGCTCAAGGAGGGGGCTGATGGCACCGTTGGTCCCTCACCCTATGGCAGAGCAGTTTTGGGGCTGGAGGGATGGGATGAGCCCCACAGGCAGAACTCCTCCCTGGTGGCTCTGATTGCCCCTTTTTCCTGCTCCCTCCAGGAACTTTCCCCAAGGGCATTAGCAGGATAAAGCTCCAGCTCCAGGTCCCAGCAAGTTCCACCACCAGCCACCACCAGGGACAGAGCAAGAGATGGGCAACGCGCTTGAAAGCAGAAACAAACTGCCAGGAACATAATGCAAGAACCCACCTAATGGCAATTGTCACAACCAAAACAGGATTATTTATATGCTGTCCTTAGCATAAGCAATGTACTGGGGGAAGCATCACCAAGAGAAGAGCTTGGAACCAGATTGTGCCCTTCCCCGGGCTGCCGGCGAGGACACCCACCTTCCAGATGCTGGCTTCCTTCCCGTACACCACGGCCATGTTGCTCACTTTGTTGGACTTGATGAACTGCTTCTCTGTCCTGTTGAGCTCCTCGGACACAAAGCCCATGAAGGAGTTGTCGGGGGTGTGAGCTGCAACACCAAGGGGGAAGGACACAGGCTCGCGGGCCAGACACAGCGCACGGAGCTGCCCCGCTGGCATTGCTTAGTGTCCCCGTCTGGGGCAGCAGAACCTGGCACAGGTTGTACTTCTCCATGCAGAGCTGGGAGAAGTCCTTAAAAAAGTGGTAAAATCAAGCCAGCAGCCAAGGTAGGGTGGTACAAGGGAGGTTTCCATCTCTCTGCCTACCAATCTGGCTATTTAAGTCTCTATAGACTTAAATTTGGGGTCTCTATAGACACCAAATGGGTTATATCCAGCCAGGATGAAACATGTGAGTCACCAAGGGGTCTGCACGCCTGTTCCAGAGCTGCAGGGCTCTGCTCCTTTGTGCTGAAGATCATCAGATGCATCCGAGCCGCCGAGCTGCCTCTCGCCTCCAAATCCAAGCTGCCCTTTGGCCACAGTAGCAGCAATAAATAAAGCTTTGCAGGCACAAAGAGCTCAAGAGGCTCCTTTGGGCCCTCGTAAGCTCTGCATGCACCCGATGGCTGGCCCAGGAGCCCATTTCCCACCAGCACAGCGGCCCCCAGCCCCTTCCTCAGCACCCAGATCATGACCTGGGGCCAAGAGACCACAGCTGGTCCCTCGGCTCCAGGAGGAGCCGTCCCCGTGTGGGTCCAACTTACGGAACATGGTCATGAACTGGGTGGGCTGCAGGTTCCAGTAGCCCCAGTTGGTGCGGTAGCCGCGCAGCGTGGCGTACTCCTCGTGGTTGTAGGCCGGCTCCGTGCCAAAGGTGTCAATGACTCGGATGCGGCAGCTGTGAGGGGACAGGGCACCTGCATCACCTCCTGCACCCGCACGTCCCTTCCAAGCAGCTCCCTCCCCTAATGAGCAGCTTCCCGCTCCATCTTCCCGTGGTTTCTGGAAACGATGCATCTCCTGGAGACACGCTAATGCTCTCCCCAGCGTCCCGGGAACGCTAAGGCTGCCGGTGCCAACACCAGCGCGAGGAGAGCAGGGGGATGTCGAGCCCGAGAGGAGAAAAACAAGCCGAACGTGCGAGTGAATGCATTTATAATAAAAGCAATAACGCTGCTTGTCATTTTTCTCTCTAATAAAATTGTGTAGGATAGCAGAGGAGATGGGAGAAAACATAATAAATAGCAGGACTATCAGTGCTAAATTAAATCGCATATTTTCCCGGCTGCTGATATACCAGGGGATGATGACATTTGTCTTGATGCTGAAGGAGCCAGGGACAGGGCTTTGTTTCTCGAAAGCACCAGCATCCCCCTGCCATGTGCCAGTCTGCACATGGAAGACGCTGCTTGGGAGTACATGGCAGACCCACAGACACGTGCCGAGAGGGCAGTTTCCACCCCAAATTCTGCTATTGAGCTTTTGCCTTAATAAAGTGGCTTCCAAGGCAGCAACCTCGCACTGTGGTTGCATTGAGGGAGCTCAATGCCAGGACTGTGGAGCTCCAACCAAGCTTCACCCGCCTTGCAGACCTGCAGGGACAGGAGGTGCGGGTTGTACAGCCTGGCGCTGATGGATTTTGCAGCATCTCTGGGCACCATTGGTCCTTCAAGATCGTTCGCAGTGCTGTTGGCTTGCTAATGAATAAATCTCATTGAAGGGAAAATGAAGGAGCTCTGCTTACCTGTATTTCTTAAAGGAGAGACCCATGTGCTGCTTCATCTGTTGGAGACCGTGGTAGTCGGTGTAAATCAGGTCAAAAGGCAGAGGAATCGTCAAGGGACAGTTCCCCCGTCCCGGAGGCACCCCCAGGTTGCTGGTGAGAAACAGGGACAACTGATAAGCTCCCAGACACCATAAACGCCCTTTCACCAACCCAGCAGGACAAACACCATTGGGCATCCCTGCCCATGAACGTCTGCATCCATGGCAAGAGGACACTCAGGTGCAGAGGTATCACTGCCCCCAAACACATCGGTAAAATACTACCAAAAAAAACAAACAAAAAACCAGGATCTGCTGGAAGTTCTGCACCCTTGATCTGAGCCTTGCAACCACATCAGTGACTCTGCATCACCCCAGAACCAGCAAGCACGGTCCTCCTTCATCTCTGCATGCAGATCTTCCTACGACTCCCTTCCTGTCCTCCCATCCTCGCAGCTACAGAAGGCTTACTAGAGCATCCGAGGACCCCTCGTCCTACGCAGCCGTCAGCAAAATTCACTCGTGTCTCCAATCTTGTGCACGGTGGCTGGGGCCAGAGCTCAGCCTCAAGGCAGGTTAACACCGGGACTCTCATAAAACACCACACTGGTTTCCAGCAGTTCCTTACAACCCTTCTTGAGCCCTCTTGCCCTGAGCAGCGCACAAGACGCTTCATGGAAGCCCTGATAAAACTAGATGGACTGCAATCTCTTTATCAGGACCATCAGTTACCCTGCCGCCAATGCAATACGCGATTAATCCGGAGTGATGCAAGGCTGTTTTCCATTACCTCTGTGAGCCCACGAAGCCGTCTTTTGCAAAGCTCTTCCATTAAGTGTATCACTGATGTCAGCCTGACAGCCAATCTGCTTGTCTGGACTATGTTTCCTCTTCTTCAGAAAAAATGGTGACACCTTCCAACTTAAGCAGGTGTCTTAAAAAAAATCTTGTTAAATGTACCTGTGATTTCTGCGCGCAAGTTCACTCAGGAATATAAATGATCCATCCCTCGGTATCAGTGCTCTTGCCATTTTTCCTCTTAGACACTGCAATTCCTCCTCCCATTTTACTACCTGGCTCCACAACAACCGACAGCAATATCCTCATAGAAAGCCCAGCCGTTGTGTTCATCGGGTCCATCCGGGCTTTGCCCCGCTCTCTCTCAGCAATAGCCCCATTGCTTGCTTAGCTCCAAAGATTTTATCTGAGGATTTATCCCATATTTTAGTACTAGAGGTACCTTCCCTTTTCTTAGTTTTTGACTTTCCAAGTTCTTGAAGCCTTACACACACTACATGTCTTCTCTTACTGCTTCTCTTCATTTCTCCATATTAGCCCCTGTGAATTTGGGACTCCCCTTTACAGCTATACTGGGATTTCAGCCTGTCATTCAGTGGAACTAGGGTGGGTCTGCAGTGGTGGGTTCTTTATCTGAGGAGCATTTCCAGAAGGTCCTCACCCCTTGTCCTACGACAATGTCAATGACTATGACATTTCATCCGTCAACCCCATGGCTGTCCAGTGAGGACATCAACAGCTCTTCTGCCTCAGCAGTAGCCCAGTTACATCATTATGGCGTGCTCTCCAATCTCTCCCTAAAACCATAAGGTGACAAAAACATTGCAGATGTGACCAACATGATTAGTTGGCCATTTTAGACATGATACAGGGTTCTTGGTCTGCTCCTGGCCATATCTCCCTCTTCTTCTGAAGTGGCTTGCAGATACTTGAGTGCTGGGCACCAAGGCTGCAGTTGGCCTGCTGCAAAGGAGAAGATCCTTCTTCTTCCAGCCTTATCCCAGTCCGAGAGCCAGGCAGACCAGTGAAGGGCCATCCTGAAGTCATGGACACCACCACACCAAGCAACTCCTAAGAGCGAATAAAACTGCAACCATATAACTCCCCGCTGCCAGGAAAACACAGATTTTCAATTTAAGGCAAAGAGCAGCATTTGCAGTCGCTTCAGTGCTCTTGTCACAAAGAATATACGCATCAGCTCAGGGCAGATCAGGCAGGGTCAGCCGCGGGCAAAACCAGCTGCAGTTTTATCACTTTTATGGGCAATTTTACACGAAGCAGTTGATTAGGAAGATGACAAGAATAGAACAGCTCTCACCTCCAGGAGCCACCACAGTAAGATAAACAGAGGAACAAGAATTCCCAACCCTCCTTGGGAAGCTGAAGCATTTGCTCTGAAGGGATACATCCCCACAGCACCAAGGAGGAGATGGTGCCTGGTGTTTCAGAGGTGGCCTTGGAGGCTCCTCCTCATGTTCTTGACATGCCAGCGGGTAGGACGTGGGCACAAGGGGAAGCAGGTTCAAAGCTCGGCTCTGCCATGCTCTTGTCGCGTGACCATGTAAATCGCTAACGTTCCTCCTCGGTCGTGCCCGATTAACATGTAGCCCTTGGCTGCACTCACATGGGCAAACGCAATGGGGGCTTGATGTCTTCTAAATGCAGATAGCGGGAAGCAGCGCCCGGCATCACCCAAAAACTCCGCACTCCAGAAATATGGTGCTACTTCAGAGAAGAGTATTACAATTTTATAATAATGCAGGATAATGAAATAAAAAAGCCAGGGCCTGGGGAATCCCTGTTGTGAGCTGTGGTGCAGCAGGAGGCTCCGGATGTCACGGGTTCATCACCACACTCTGCCACACATCCTGCCAGATCTACTCATAGTCCCAGCACCCAGCTTGCAAGGAATCAAATTATAGGAACAAACGTAAAGGTAACGCTGAAGCCTTTGAAGCAACGCATCCCTCAGTATTTATCCCCTCCATCCTTTCTAAACACTCTATTAACTCCTGATTTTAATATTCCAGTCATGTAAATCCTGATGGTACCTTCTAGGTGGGGAGATTTTTTCCCCATTCCTCCTTATTTAAACATTCTTTATTCAAGCTTTCATCATTTGCCGGTTAAGTCAACTAATTTTCTACTAAACCCAATTTCACTCATGGCTGGAGTGAAATTTCCCTGATTTTTTCTCGTGCCATGTACTATTAATGGCGCTTGAAATTATGCAAATAAAATTGATGAGTGCAAATGCCTTTTTTCGCAGAGAGCTCAGCCAAGAGATTTGTTTCGAACAACAGTTGATCCCAGCATCAGCACTGAAAAGAAAACACCCCAACCACCTTCCCCTTGGAGATGAGCAGAGCCTGCCGGCCGGCTCGCATTCCATGCAAGAGCCCTGGCAAACGCATCAATCCCAATCTAATGGTTGGGATGAGATCAGCGACGTTGCCAAAACTCGGCTCTCGCTCCCGCTTGCAAGACCGCAGCCACAGAAGTGCTGGCTGCTGCTCTGCCCTCCAAGGAAGCCACCCAAGAGCTGTGCTTGCCTACGGCACCGGCCCATCTCACACTGCCTCCAGCAGCTGTGCCTGCCCCAGAAGAAATCTGCTTCTTGTCCTCCTATTTTCCCCTTATAGGTACTTTAATCCACCAAAGGACCCATTCCCTTCCTGAGCTTGGCGAAGGCTGCATTCAGATAACGGCAGCGTTATCACTACATCCTGTTGACCTATTTTCCAATGAACCCAACCTTTCTTTCCAAGTTATTCCTCCCCGGGCTGGAAATGTCCAGCACTAAATTGAGCTCGCGGGAACCTGCTGACAGCCGGGGCCAATATCCTAGGTTGGATCTAATCGCGTCTCCGCCGCCCGCCTCCGCTGTCAGCGGTGAGAAGCGGCGGGGGGAGAACGGCTTCGTGGCGAGCCTGCAAAAGCAGAAGTCTTCCTCCTCTCGGCAAAAAATAAAATAGAATAAAATAAAATAAAATAAACACTGTCTTGTTGTGGCTGCTATCCCCATGGACATGGACCATACCAGCCAGGTGCAAGCAGCACATTCACACAGCCAAAACCCCGACATACACGCCAGGCTCAGGCTGGGAGATTTTGCATTTGAAGATTTTGCATTTGAGATTTTGCATTTTGCATTTGAAGAGTCTCCTCTGCAGACACATCTGCTCCCAAACTTCCGAAGGATTTGGGCCAAGCTTGGATGCCGGTCATGGGGGAGCCTGCACGATGAGCAGCCCTTCTGCATGGCTCTCCTCCTGGCCACGTTCCTGCTGTTTCCCCTTAGCCTGGCAGAGCCTCACGAGAGCCAAACAGGCATCCCGAGACTTTCCTTGTGCTTGGAGATAAGGCACGAGGAGCTGGGCAGGACGCTCCAGAGCAGAGCCAGAGTGCAGCCCTCCAGAATCCATCTCCATGGGTCAACCACACAGCTCCAAATTAACCGTTTCCTCCAGAAGTGCAATTCCACTGCTCAGAAATTCCTGCTCATTTATGCACCTTCCTGCTTGCACCATATCCGTGGGGCTCTCGTTTCGCTTTACCCGACTCTCCGTTTTGGAGCCTGCTGGACCCGGCTGCAAGAGACCAGGAGGAGCAAAGGGGCTGGACTCCACACCCCAACGAAGGGCAGCAATGAGCTCTGCCCCACACACGGCTGGAACCTGCAGCTCCTTCTGCTCGGAAGCTGGGCAAATATCCAAGCACCTTCCTTTGGGCTAGTCTTGCTGTCAGCAGAAGCTGCATGTGGCCCCAGCTGTGCCGAGCTGCTCCGTGCACCTGGAGCCACTTGGAAAAAAGGGGTATTTTTAGCCAAATCTTCATCAGGTGCAAGGAGAGCTAAGCGGATTTCCAACAGCTAACATTTTGGACCCCATCGCCTTAGATATTTCCAGAGGAAACGTGTCCTGATTAAATACGGAACAGAGAAAACGGTTGCATGGATGGCTGCCTGTGCTAGCAGAGCCCATGCCAGAAAATAATTAGAAACGCCTTCATCTGGACATTGTGCTTCTGTTTGAACGGCCCTTTGTGTAGTCCACGGCGGCTGCAGAAAGCGCAGGGAAATAGCAGCTATAATTATGTGCCAGAGCCGCAATGGGAGCCCTAGGAGTGTCTGTGTTTGCTGGGAAGCTCTGGCATCTCTTGTCCTCTGGAGCTTCTCTGTGTCACTGCGTGTCCCACCACGGAGCTGGTTCCGTGTCACTGCGTGTCCCACCGTGGAGCTGGCTCTGCCACGCAGCGCCCAGCTCCGGCACTGCACGCTGGCTCTGCGGAAGGGCATCGTTGCAAGCGCCCAGCAGGCAAAGAGCTGCAAGCAGGGGATGCAAGAGCCTGTTTAAAATCCACTGCCTTGTGCAGGGCTCGTGCTGCGAGTCCCAAGCTCAATGCTGAAGCAAGGAAGCCCTGAGAGTGCTTTGCAGAGCCCTGATCCTACAGGGTATCACCTCCCTCCTCTTCGACCTTCTCCCCTTCCTAAAGGGCAGCTACTTTCAAGGGGGCAGTTTCCAAAGTCCCCAGGGTTGACACCCCCAGCACAGCAGCAGTTTGCAGGGCTGCACCCACAGCCTCATGCCAACCTCACGAAATCAGCGTGAGATGCTGGGTCCAAGGCTGGCCCCTCTGCCCCACCGCAGCACTTTTCCTTGGAGGAAGGAGGCGGCGCAGAGGAAGGCTCGTGGCGGATGCGCCGTGCCAATGGAAGCGCCTTTCGGCTCCCGAGCAACGTCAGGGACCTCCAGCACATCCAAAGACAGCGGGATCCCTTCCTCCCAGTTTCAAGGTTGGACTGGAAATGTTGCCTTCTCCCCGGAGCGCCTGGCGTGGCGCTTGCAACGTGGCAGGTAACTAATAGGTTCTGCTTGAGGCTGTTGCTGCAAACTGCTGCGGGTGTTAAACTGCAGCTAATAAACGCCCTGCGAGGCTCTGCATCGGCCACCAGCAAATCAAGGGTTTCAGCTTTTGCCCGTCAACATGCATCAACAGGAAAGCAGCAGATTCACTGAGGAATGCAAAAGGGGACAACTCCCAGCAGTTAGTTCAACTAAAGGAGAAGCAGCCACCTCCAACAGCAGCACAACTCAGGTTTTGAAGCTCCCCGGGGAGGAAAGATAAACTGCATTTGTCATCCTGCTTGTAATTCAGTAGCCCCTGCAGTTCAGTGAGCAGTAGAGCCTTTGCAATATGAGGTATGGCCAGCTCGGAAGCATCTACCCTCTGGGCAGGCCAGGCAGATGCGAAGGGGAAACACAGAGAGTTCAAAGGATGTGGTCGGTGGCAGTCAGGAATGCAATTGTCTCTCCCGGCTCCCAAGCGGCCGTGTTATCTCTCCAATGCAAAAGGACAAGCGTTTTAACAACCTGGAGCCCCATTTTGACCTCCTGGGGGAAAGTCAGGGTTGAGCTCTCTGGATCCCATTCTCAGACCTCCCAGGGGCCCCAGCCACTTGACAAGCCGTAGAGCAAGTCAGCAAATACTCAGAGCTCCTTATATTCACCCAAAATCAGCACTCATCCACAAAACCACCTGGAAAAGTGTAGTTTAACACCCTGTGTTGTCACTACTTGCAATTTGCCATCTGCTTCTCTCCCAGCTGGAGTTATCCTTCAGGGACAGATGCAAGGAGACACAACTTCAGCTGACCAGCACACACCGTCCCCCTCCAGATTCCATAGCCTCACATTTGGACTCTCCCTTTTCACTTCCAACCTAGTAGAACTCCTATAGAGCACCCAGCATGAGCAGAACCTCTAACTACCAGCCTCTTGGGTCAGATAGAGTCTTCTCCTATTGGTCTACATGATCCCATGCGGACTTGATGATCTTGAAGGGTCTTTTCCAGCCATAAAGAGTCTATGATCCCCAGCAGTTCAGGCCCAATCCTGACCAGTGCCTGCAGGTACTGCTGCACTGTGATCAATATACACACTACTAATGAACAGCTCTTAGACAGCTATTGGCTGAAGTGTAGACACGCGAACCTTTTAGTGATCCTTCGCCAATGATCAATACATGTACAAAAATCAGCTCAGAAATTTGGAGAGACAAAAATCAAAGCAGAAGAGAGGCTATTCTGTGTTGAATAATTTACGGTACCCAGCCTTCCTGCCACGAGTGCCATGCTGAGTGGGAGAACCTGCAGCTTCAAGGCCTGGAAGGAGCAGGGGACTGCCAAAGAGAAATAAAATGTGAATCAACACCTGGCATTTCTGGGACAAAATATCTCCAAACCTCGAATCTCAGTTGGTTATTACTAGGCTGCAACAAGCCCCAGGTGAACTCCAAGCCCTCTGAGAGAGTGGAGGATGTTCAAGAAGCTTCATTCAAGAGGCACTGATGCCAACATCCCTGTTCCTCCCCGCACTGCCTGTGGCACGGACCTTGTTAGTTAAGTCCTTATGGTGACATCTCCAAGTGGAGACGAACAAATTTAGCCCTGGCCTGCCGTACATGTTTCCCACCTGGGCTGGAGGGTGTTTTCTTTCCCATTCCCAAGAAGGAAGGAGCCACAGGACATCAGATCCCATCCCAGTATGCTCCCAGGGCTCTTTGCAGAGCAGGGTGCCCAACCCAACTTGACATTCTCAGCATCCCGGAGCCATCCTAGCCCAAAGCCAAGTCAACAGGGCAAGTCGCCCATCAGACAGGAATTAATTATGCAAGATTAATAATGAGCTGTGCTAATAGTTAACCAGCACTGTCCCAGGGAGCCTCCCGCTCGCCGGTGGCAGCGCAACGGCTGATCTCTGCACTCCTCCAAGCCAGCTTCTTGCCACCACCGAGTGGCCACCGCGGGGCTTGTCATTAAAAACAGCCACAAGAGCCACAGAGCAGCCACAGAACCTCCCAGATGCTTCATCCTCCTTTCACCTCGAGCACCTGGGCATCATTTCAGCCGCCAGCTCAACCACGCCTGCCTCCTGGGGAAGCTGCTGAGCGCCACACCAGGCTCGGGATTATTCTGAGTTAATTAGTCAGGAGATAATTCTCTTCATTAATTGCAAATGCTGCTGGGGCTGGGCTGGATTTTGTGCCTTGTTTTTTTGCCCGGATTGTTCTTTTTTTCCCTTCCTTTCACAGCACGGCTTGATGTGCATCCCGTTATCCCGGGTCTTTGTGCCGCCGCGTGGCTCTGCGGCAGGGACCCCTCGGCGGCCGCTCTCCCTTGCGCGGGTTATTTCGGACAGCCCGGAGGGTCAGGAAGGAAGGGAGGGAGGAAGGAAGGAAGGAAGGGAGGAGCAGAGTCACCTTTCAAACAGCACCAGCAAAGCCCCGGAGCCCCATGGCACCTGCATCCTGCATCCCCCAACCTGCAGGGACCATCTCTGGTGATGGAGGAAGGGAAGGGGCTGCGGCCTGGCAGGAGTCGCCAAGCGATGCCCGAGGGACACTCACCTCTGCAGCTCCTTGAGGGAGACGGTGACCCGCAGGCTGTGTCCCAGGAGGAAGAGGGCGGCCAGGATGTCGGCCCATTGCACCATCTCCCCCAGCGGGCCGCCCTTCAGCACCCGCGGGCTGAAAACATCCCCCGACTCCTCGGTCAGGAAGCCGATGTGGATCAGGATCTGTCGGGACAAGGAGAGGCGATGAGGCACGGACCACGGGTACGAGGAGAAACGGGCCCCGATTCGCTCCCTGCTCCTTTTGTGGGCCTTAGTACCCGTGGTGGGAAGACAAGCAGCCCATGTCTCCGTAGCCAACCCTCCCAATTCAGTGGCCACCCATCCCCACTGCCCACGTGTCTGTTTGCCCCAAGTCCACCAGAGCCTGGCTCATGGACACTGACAGGGTGTTGCTGTGGGAAGGCGTACAAGGACCCAGGTAAGAAAGGCAAACATTTATCTCATTTGTAGTGAGCATTTGTAAAAAACACAGACAGGAGAACCAGCCTCCTCCAGCACCTCCAGGTAGGATTGGTGCCAGCCTCTTCCAGCCTTCTTGCTGCACATATCTCCTACCTGCAGGACCAGTCTCTGCAATTCCACCCATCCTCCAGACAAGCTGATCCCATGTTCTCCCAAACAGACACATCCATTCCCGCCCTGCCCACAGGCTGGACCCTCCAGGCCCACGAGCATCCCTGTATCCCACTCTCTGCCGGCTGGGCCCTGCTCGTGGCCACAGTGCCCTCTCCCCGTGCTGCCCCTCGTACGTGTTTCTGGTCCCGCCGCCGGCCCTCCAGCTTCTGCTCCAGGCGCCGCGCTGCCCGCAGCCACTGCCGGCCTAGGTGACGGATCCTCTTCTTCATGAAGATGAGCGACTCCTTCCCCGTGCCCACCAGCTCAAGGAGGTGGGTGAGGTCGCTCCGAAAAGCTGCCTAGGGAAGAGAGCGGCTTTGTTGTCCCAGCGGTGGGGAAGCAGCTGTGAGAGAAGCCCGGGGTCTCCGGAGCACCCAGGAGGGTTTGCTGTGCCCAGGCATCTGCTGCACAAGGAGCCCCGGGTGAGGGAGGCTCTCTGCAGCCTCCGGAGCTGCCAAGGACCAGCTGGGAGCTGTTGTGAGGTTCCCTTTGGAAAACCCCGGACAGGAAAGCAGGAAGGAGAGGAGGGAATTGAGGGAGCGTTGTACATTCCCCAATATCTCTTCTCTCAGCTCCCAAACTGATGGGCAGAGAAAACTATTTAAAAGGGCCTTGAATTATAAATGGAGGCTCGCCTTGGGCAGAGGCACCGGCACAGCTGACCCCAGAAGCAGCCCGTAACACGTAGCCCGTTGCACCAAATGGGAATCCCGCAGAGCCCACCTAGCACTTGGCACACGGCACCTCTCACCTGAGCCACGGCCCGAAACCAGAGCTCCTCTGCTCAGCACACCAGATTCCCAGGGCCCTGCTGCACACGATGATTCTGGTGAAGTCCCAGATGTGACAGACAACTGACATGCTGCTTTCAGGCCCATCTCAGAGGCCAACCGTCTTCGGGAGCACTTGTCCCCCTGGCTTTAGACCCTCCAAACCCACCTCAGGACACAAGCCACCATGGCCTTACCTGGCCCCTGGGCAGCGGTGCTGGTGAAGGCAAAGCCGCCGTCTGGTTCCTCCAGGGCAGGGGAGGGCAGAACCACTCCACTTCGCTGAGGTAGATGAGAAAGGAGCACTCTGTGCCATCCACACCAAAAAACGCGTAGCAGGGGTCAGAGGTCCACCTGGCCCTCATCCACTGCAAGGAAGGCAAAGCAGCCCGTCAGGATCCCGCTCCGGATGCCATTGCAAGAAACCTTCTCTTCGGCTTGGCCAAGCAAAGAGCCAACGTGCCACTTTCACAGCCCTGGGCACGGCAGGGCTCCCTGGGATGATTTCCCTGGAGGAGAAGCACCAGCGACCGCATCACCCATCTATCATTCCCTGGAAGAGCTTTCAGCAGCCTCTAATGCAACTACAAAAACAAATCTACTCGGGAGACAGGTTGCTGTGCCCAATATGTAAAACGCACCAATCACCCAGACAGCAGATCGAATTACAGCCTTCCCCGATTAAATTACCCTCCGGATTTACTCCGATCCTGGAAGGAAAGGATGCCTGGTGCTGAGGGAAGTTGAAAACACAACCCTTGGTTGATTTTTAATACACCTTTCAGTATCTTTTCAGAGAGACCCAGCCCTATGGAAATCTAAGCCGAGTTTGATGCTGGATGCTCGGAAAGGAGATGGTTTTCATTAGTACTTATAAATATGCTCTCTGGCAAATTAAACATGCCCCAGACCAAACACCAAGTGCAAAGGCAGGCGGGCAGGATGAGGCACTTGTCACCTGAACAAGCTGCTCCTCTGCGCGAGGCTGACGTTACTCCCCAGAGACTAGATAACGCTCCAAGTATTTAAAGAAGATGTGACAGTGCTTTCTCCTCGTCATGCTTCTGTCACCAAACAAGGAGAACGCAGACAGGTCTGCTGGCAGAGGGGACCTCCTGGAGCTGCCTGGAAGCCCTGATCCCCCCGCCCTTCTCCTGGAAGGACCAGCCAGGGCCGCGATGGGCAACCAGCCCAACTCACCTCCACTTTGCCAGCACAGTCAGGGTACTTGGGGTCCCTGGGCACCTCGCACTGGTCTCTCCTGCTGTCCATCACTGCAGAAAGAGAATTTGGGCAGAAGAGGGCCATGCCATGCCAGCAGGACACCTGGCAATGAGGTGATGGGACAGGGTTGATGGTCCCTGCACGCAGCCAGCTCTGCTCCCACCTGGAGCCTCTACCCTGGGCAATGTGGCTAAATGAGTCACAGAGCCCTGTCCCATAGTCATATACACACATACAAACACACACACATGGAGATACATTTACATATTCTTGCTGCTCTCAGCCTAAATTTCTGGATTTGATCTAGAAAACCCAAATTGCAGCAGTTCAGGGATCACACTGCTCTCCCAGCACTGCCAGGAATGAAAGAGAAGGTCTCCCAGACCTGGAGCTGAGCCTCCAAGCTCCACATCCAAACTGTCCAGTCTTTCTACCCCAAGTGTTGGCATGACTCCTCATGGAAGGTGGGAAGGTGAGTAGGGAGCCCACCACAGGAAGGCTGGCTCTACAGAGCTTGGTGTTTAATTTCACAGGTCTTGTTCCTCTGCCCATTGATTCCCCAAGCTCTCAATTTGCCATGGCCAAGTTAGCACTTTACAGAAGAAGTTATGGGTGCCAGCAACCACATAGTGTGGTGTCTTATCCAGCCTCCCCTTCCAGTTCTCCTGTCCGTCATGGCAAGGTGTCCCAGATGCCTCCAAACTCAAGGCCTCCTCTCTCTTGAAGAGACACTTCCAGCATGCTGAGCTGTGACTAATTACAGATGGTGAACGTGTCCTGTATTGGCATGGGAGATAACTTTCAGCCACGGCTCCCTTGGCCCAAACGTAGGCAGACATCTGTTATTAGAGTCAAAGACCGAATACACGGAAACGGGTCAGGGACGTGACAAGAGGCTCCACGTGCTCTAACATGGTGCTACCAATCATGCAAGTATTTATGCTGTTAACATTAAGGATACTCTCTTCCGCTCCTTTGCGCTGGGAAATGGGTGTCCATAATAGAGGTGGACATTAAATATTGATAACAGGAAAGGAATCTACTGCCTAGTGTGCAGATCTCCCCCACAGCAAAGGGGACAGAAAGGCTCTCTGGAACATTATCTACACCAGAGGAAGAAAAACTGACAAGGAGCTAAATATTTCATATCCCAGGGGCTGTCTGCACACTGAGGAAGTCAGCCATAAAATGCTCTTGCATCCACTTTGCCAGTCTTGGATATTTTACCTTTGTACGCTCCAAGACCCTGAATTTGACCCAGTGAGGTTCACACAGATTCACAGAATATATAAGGTTGGAAGGGATCTCTACAGATCATCTAGTCCAACCTTCCTGCTCAAGCAGGCACACCTACAGCATGTGGCACAGGGTGGCATCCAGACTGGTTTTGAAGACCTCCAGAGTAGGAGACTCCACAACCTCCCTGGGCAGCCTGTTCCACTGCTCTGTCACCCTAACAGTAAAGAAGTTGCTCCTCACCTGGAGACGGAACTTCTTATGCTTCAGCTTGTGGCCATTACCCCTCGTCCTGAGGTAACAGCTCCAAAGTCGAGAGAGGACAACACACTGAGGCTTTGTCACAGAGCCCAGAAAACGTAAGAGGGAAATGTCTTGAGAAATCATCAGCAGATGTAACCATTGGGAAACTGAACATAGGAGGCAACGGAGCTGCCAAAGGCCATCTCATGAGAAGGTCTGGTTGCTAGCAGGGTGGTATCATGGCCAGAGCAGCATCCGTTGAACAACAGACACATGCTAACCATCTCAAGTAAGATACAACCTTATCCAAAATACATTTACTCCCCACCAAAGCATGACACCCGCTTGTGGACCAACATTCCCAAACTGATGATTGGCAGAAACAAGGAAGCCCCACCAGGACCGTGACCTCTCTTTACTTCTCCATCATTTTCATTCTTTCTCAACAGGCAAGACAAGCTTTGGGCCCACTTCACAGAGGAAGAGGGAAGGAAGTCCTAGAAGTTCTGCCAAAGACCATGAGAGGTCCTACGGCATTCTGTAGACATGTAGGTAACCTCAGATCCGCATCCTCAGCCGTGGTTTTTACCTGTCCATCAGTGGCAGGCTTGACTAGATTCCCTATTGCAATTGCTCAGTCCATACGTATTTGGGAGCGTGTGCCCATGACCAGGGCACCGGGGACGAGGACCTCCTCACACACTTACTTTTTCCATTCATGAGGCTGTTCCGGAGAATCTGATCTACTTTTATTGCAATGTCCGAGACATTTTGAGCTATCGCTTGAATTCTCTCCATCAAACCAGATGCTGGCTGGAACCTGCAAATAAAACACAGAGACCCTGAAAACACAGTGTCTTCTTGTCGTAGCATCCACGTTTGCTAGATAAAGCCAGGAGGGCTTCCTGCTTCACACAGCAATCTTTCTTTCCTTACAAGCTGTTGGCAGGTAGAGCTTAGCCTCAGGATGTAAAGCAGAAATGCATCTTCCAATATGGATCAGGCAAAGATCTCACCGGCTTTAAAGAGTTTTGACTAAAACTACATAATCAATTCTCTGCCATTTCGTGCTGCGCCCTGATGAACACAGACACATCTGAGTGTTTTACACGCAAAAAGGAAATGTGCCGGCACATTTATTTTATTTCAGATGTGCCTGAAGATATTTTACCGAGATTATTGAACTCGTAGCACATGTGGGAAACCATGGGAGAGGAGCGAAGGAGGAAAAAGAACAAAAAGAATCCAGAAAAAGAAAGGTGAAGAGCCCCAAGAGAGATGAGGATGGGCCAAACCCGTCTGGCTGGTCCCCATGGATTTAGGCCAGCAGATTTAGGTGCAGCAGTGATTCACAGCCACTTGGAGCAAGCACAGCTCGGTCAACGTGAAGCCACAAGGCAACCCCATTGTGTCACATACCCATAACCTCCTTGCTTGGGAGTTTAGCGCTGATGGATTACATTTAATGGGTGAACATGGTGGCCTGCAAAGCAGACTACCTGGTTCCCTCCATGAAGAGGAAGACAGTGATGATGCCTTCACCGGTTGCATTTCCCACGTAATTGTGGAGTCCTCATCGTCTTGTCTGTCTCGCAGAACGCAAGACAGACTGGGGTTGGGGTACCGGGAGCTTCACGCACCACGCTCCAACCGAGCTCACGGCTCAGTTGTCACCGTAAATAACTTCCCTCTCTGCAGTGTCTTGGTCACAAGTGTTTTCCCCAGCTGCTGAGATCATTACAATGTACAGAAGTGTCACGAGCGCTGAGCAAACCCAAAAGGGCTACCTTGAATACTCCTGGCACCAAAATATTTGCTGCTTTCAGGCCCTTCCCACTCAAGTTTTATGTTTGTTCTCCAGCAGATCAGCAGACCCGAAGGCTGGGATTTAAAGCTCCTCTATCCCCAAGGCTAAAAAAAATCCCAAGTTTTATGAACTGTTACTGCTTCAGCTGTTGATTTAAAGCCCGTTCTGCAGCAGCAAGCAGCCCACGTTTTTCCTTCTGGCATGGTTTATGTCCGCCAATACCAAGCCTTCGTATCTCCACAGGGGACCACATATCCTGGGCTTTTAAGAAATAATAATTAAATGTAGAGGACACTGTTGCCCCCAGGTATCTTTCAACCTTTCGCAGAGAATAAACCCCAAGTAACCTGCAGTTTACTGCCTGAACTAGGAAGCCTGATAAGGTATGGAGACAAAACACTCCCGTGATGGGGTCTGCTTGTAGCACAGCTACAAGGAGATAAATGGCTCCTGTTTTGAGGGCTGATGTCTCAAAATGCCTCAGAATTCCAGTTTTGGTTTGCAACTCCTTTTCCCCCCCATAAGAAAGCAGCAATCAGACCACACAGGTGATGCACACACACTCACAAAAGCAGGAAGAGCTGGAATGACCATTTTTGTAAGAAGTACCCCAAGAATTCATCGAATTTACACTTAAAAGCCTAACCATCAGCAACAGATGGATAACAGAATCACAGAAGGGACCTCTAGGGATCATCTAAGTCCAACCTTCCTGCTCCAGCAGGGACACCCAGAGCACAGGGTGGCATCCAGGCAGGTTTTGAAGACCTCCAGAGAAGGAGACTCCACAACCTCCCTGGGCAGCCTGTGCCAGGGCTCGGGCACCCTCACAGTGAAGAAGTTCCTCCTCACCTGGAGATGGAACTGCCTGGGTTGCAGCTCACACCCATTACCCCTTCTCCTGTCACTGGCCACCACTGAGAAGAGCTCGACCCCTTCCTCCCTACATTCTCCCTTCATGAACTTATTAATGTTAATCAGATAACACCTTGCGGAGATGCTCCCCTGCTTCCTCTGCTGCTCTTGGTGTGGAGGAGATGTCGAATGCGGCTGCAGCACCCCTGCTCCACCTCCCAAAGCTTTGGGATCTGCCCATGGCTTAACATTTGCCTGCCCAGGCCTAAGACAGCCCCAGTAGCCAGGCACTGCCCCAAATACAAAGGTTCCTTATCCTCCACTTCATCTCCAATGACTTTTGGGGCAAGCTCAGCTAGGGCCAAGACCCAGCACAGGCTGCTAACGCAGGCAGCATCAAGACAGGTACCTGCAATTGTCTCACTGTGCAGCCTGTGCACGGCTCAAGCACGCTTTGCTTATGGCATTAAAGAGATGACAAGAAGGTTAAGCAAAAAACTACCAAAACTATCATTAGAATGATTTGTCATCTGAGCAGGGGACAGGAAAATGAGATATTTAAAGTAAAACCTCAAACGGAGAGAGGTTTTCTGCAGCTCATCACAATCCAATGTCCTATCCTTAGTAACCGGAGATGCGGGGAAGGACGAGCTAAGTGGCTTATCCCACCAAATGACAGCTAAGCAGAATGGAAATATTTCAGTACCCTTGTTTGCTGCCCAGAAATGGGAATGAGATCATCAACCGTGCGCCCAGGACAAAAACCAGCCCATGCAGGGGGGCAGAGCAGAGCTGCAGCCTCATCAAACCACACTTCAGGCGAGGGCAGCTGCGGGAGGCACACGCGGGCATCCTCTGCACGCCATCCGTGCAGAAAAGCTTCATCCCAACCCCACTGGAATACCAAGAGCACCCAAAGAGGAGCTCTCCTCCAGCACAGGCATCAGCAACACATCCCAGTTCCTCACTGCTGCTGTTGGATTTTTAATTTTTCTACCGTGGCACCGTAAATGCCACCAAATTAGGCTGGGGCTGTGCCAGCTATTGAAAGTAGAGCAAATTGCTATAGGTTTCCCAGAATAAATTTTTCCCCAGGACCTTAAAACCGTTTACTACAGCAAATATAGCACTTTTACTTCCAACCATCAATATTGATTCCATCTTTATTATTTTCAGATTTATATTTCCCCACGATGATTAAGATTCAGATCACAGTGCAACTTATAATGCACCATATACTGTATTCATCTTGTTTCAAAAAGTGCTATTAAGATATATCTTTCCCCATTGGCAGATCATTTGGCACATAATATAGCTGGAGGTTGAGTTTTCCTTTACTTTTTTTCCCTGCATTAATTTGGCTCCCTTTACTTTGTCTCACGTCCCCAGCCCTGCAGCTCAGATCCAGCCTGTTTATCCCTTTACAAGGCACTGTATTTTTATTGCCTTTTAGAAAAGGGGCATTATGAAAAGATGAATCTCTCTCTATTTGTGTGTTGTCTTCATAATACAAGCCCTAAACATATTTGCTTGCTCATCCTATATTTCTTGCTATTAACTGCTGAAAGCCGTGACTGGGGAGAGACCGATACAGATGGAGAAAAGCAGATGTTTTCAAGATAATGCATCACAAACGCATCGCTCGCACAGAGCAGCTTCCCAAGAGATTTCAACTTTCTCACAGCCTTTTTTGCCTTTTTAAAGGTTTCTGTGTGCCAAAGCAAGCCGAGGAGCAGGGACCACCACGGAGGTGCCCTGACTCATTGTGCTCCAGAGTTGGAGAACTGGCATCCAAGGTGATGCTAGCGCCAAAAAAGAGCCAGGTCCAACCTCAAAGCTCCTACTGGGACAGGGACCAGGCCCAAGGTTGCCCATGCAAGGGACGTAGGGCTCTGCTTGCCCCATCAGGCCGGGACACCGAAGCAGGAGGGTGAGCAGCAGTCAGACACTGGGTCCTGGGGGAGATCAGGAGCTCTGGAAAGATGGGGCAATTAAGAGCTTTGCTCCTCAGGCAGAAAAGAACCAGGGTGGATCTCACCAAGGCAAAACTTCCCTGGGATCCCCATCCTTCTGCCTGTCTCACTGTCCAGCTCCAGGCTCGCACACACAAGCTCAAAGGGAACTCCTTGCACTCCTTGCATCCCAGCACTGAGGAGAACAGGGACCCTGGAGCACAAGGGCAGGAGCAGCCCCAGGGCCCTCAAGGGCTGCAGTCAGCACTCCTAAAACCCAGGTGACAGCCCTCATTTCCCCGGGAGACCCCAGGGATGGGTGCAGGAGATAGCAGCGAGCTGTGGGGCACGCCGTTCCTGCGGATCAGCTGCACATTTTGCATTCACTTGACTTCTAATCCTGCTTTTAATCCTCAAGCCACAGTGCTGGACCTATTAGTCTAAGCCTGGATAAACAAGTGATTGCTTATTTATTTTGCAGGAGGCCAGTGGGGAGCGAGGCACACGGCAAGCCCGGTGCAGGGTGCTGGGCGCAAAGTCACCCAAAGCTCCGGGTGCCACAAGCCCCAAACTCAGAGCAACCTCCCAAAGAAAAGGAGGGGAAAAACACACGCACAGCGGGGCAGCTGTGCAAACCATTGCTGCAAATATCACCCCCAACATGGGAGAAAACAGTGGCAAAACCTCGGGGCTGGGGCTCTGGAGGCAGAACACGCTCCCTGCTCGGCTCTGTCTCCCCAGCACCAACTCAATCACAGCATTTGGTCCCTCCAGGTCTCAGCTTCCCAGTGCTAAAGCACAGATAATGGGTGCTCCGTCTCTGCAACTTCCATCGGAGCCAGGTCGGAAAAGGCTCTTTCAAGCAGCAAGCGCTTTTATGCTCCGCAGGCAGCCCCAGCCAATTTTATATAAAAAATATCACAAACCAGTCTCTGCTTCAAATATAATTTCTGGTATTTCTGTATTCTGCAATCTTTCCTATTATATCTCAGCGCTGAGACAAACAGCTCAATCTCTTCTCCATGAATATTTGAATAAAGGCCTGACTTTGCTCCGGCGGTGCCTGCGCTCACGCTGAATTCATATTGGGCAAAGATCCCAGAAAACGCGTCTCGGGATGGGCGCCTTCCCTGGAAACTCATTTTAAGCAAATATTGGGTGATGCATGGGCAGAGCCATTCCCAAGCTCCCCCAAAGCTGGGAGTTGCTTCCAGCAAATTAGGGGAAAGAAGCAACACGTGACAGAGCCAAGCTGTCCAAGTGACAGATCATATAATAAATACCGGGGCGTTTTACTCAAGTAGTTCCATTTTAATTTCAATTTACATTGGGCAAAGTTTCTCACGCAAAGTGTATTTACAGCAACAAAGCCTTAGCCAGCAGGAAGTCAGGGGCTGCAGGAGAGCTCTGCCATTTCAGCAAGCTGGCAGTAAATTTGGAGGAAAAATAAGATCTCTTCAGGAAAGCATTGACCAATTTTCCAACACAAGCCAAAACTTCAATCCAAGTTGCTTACGGACCCATAACAAATGGCTCACACGTACCCAGCACAGCAAATGATTTGCCAACAACACATAATACGGTTAATTAAAACATTTTACAAATGCTCTAAACTCCTCAGAGCTGCTCAGAAGCCGAATACGAAGCTGGAGGCAAAGTTACGTCCAAGCCTTCATCTCCCTACGACGGGCAGGGCAGAATGGAAAGTCGAGACCAGGCACCTGCAAATTTGATCTGTGAGACCAGGAAATGCTGTAGACCTGAGGATTACAGGAGTGGCTTTGATGCTATTTTTTCCCTTTGATTTTTGCATAGGTGAGATATTTGTTTCCCCTGCTCAGGTCTCTCGATTCCCATGGGCTGCGGGAAGCATGAGCCCAATGTCCCCAGATGGATGTGCTGTTCCCCTTGCCAAGGGGGCTTCTCCTTAACCAGCCTGGTGCCATCACGCCAATGCTCCCAGAGTGGCTGTGGACCCAGGGATGCTCCGGGCCCTGCAGCTCAGAGGCTGCCCAAGGCTTTGGTCTGCACTGCAAGGCCAGTTGCAATGCAGCCCATTTAAGTCACTGCTTGCGTTTCCACGGTGGGAAAGTCATCACGGGCAGAGGATGGCGGCGACGCTTTATGAGGGCAGTGAAAGATGCTGGAGATGCCTCACGAAGCCCATGGGGTTTGCAGAACAGCACCTGGAGGCGGTGGAGGGGAAGCCCTTGGCTCCTTTGATTTCCCTTGGGACATGGAGCAGCGCCTTGCAAAACCAAAGCCAATGTGCTCAGGTGGGAGCACAGGCGGCTGCACCCACAGCTGTACAGGGAGAGGGATTGGGACAGCAGACACATTAATCAGAAACATTTGAGGGGGAAAAAAATGCTGATTACTCCCCTTTAGCTGCATTCCCTTCGGCTGACAGCTACAAGGAGGTCGTTGGAGGTCTGAGAAGCAGAGGGAGCAAAGTTCACGGGAGCTCCACGTATTCGGACCCAGGACTGTGGCCTGAGCACCTCAAGGAGATGCCGCAGGTCAAAGTCCACTGGCCAAGCAGGCTGAGACAGCCAAGCTGATCACCCATACGCAGTGACCAGCTCCACATCTCCTTGCGGGACGGCGGGTAGCACAAACACCACCACAACACTGCTGTCATCCTGAGTGATCGCAGCTGCTTCACACAAAGGCTTTCACATCCCCTCCTGGCCGCTGACACAGAAATTACCCTAACCCCAAATTATTGTTTTTTTTTTTTCACAAGAATGGCCAAGAAAACTATCAAGTGCAAGGAAGTGCCTTCCAGACACCAGCACTAATGGCCATCGCCACTGCCCTCCGGGGCTGCTGCTTGCGCATCCCACACGGCCCCATCAGGCTAAAACTCACTGCACCTTCCCTTATTTCACAAAATAAAACCTATTTTAGAAGAGTTAAAATTGCATCACCGAGAGGAGAGGAACAGAAGCCATAAGGGAAACAGAGACCTTGCTGCATCGCAACCTGCTGCACGAGCTGACTTGGTGCCAAATGTCACATCGTGGCCACCCCTGCTGCCACCAGCCTCCCGCATGGCCCCTACAGCTCTGCCAAACACGGGCCGCCCCAAAGCAATGCCCAGTGCAAAATTTATCTTGAGTGCTGCACCTCTTTTATAAACTAAATCTCTGCTCTTCTGAGTTAGTGGCTTCAATTCCAACTTTCACAGGCCTAGAAGAACCAACAAAACCAGTCTTCCCAAATGCTCACAGCCTCACTGAGCAAAGGGAAACATCTCTTTAACAAACTAGCATCTGGGATTTGAGGGCCTGGTGACATTTCTCAAGGTGGCAGCACGCGAGAGGAATACGAGATTCACATTCCAAGGAGCCAGGAGCTCCATCCAACATCACCTGTGTTTTGGGACCAGGAGCTCGCTCATACTTCGCTTGAAGCTCCGCTCTACTCCAAGGCTGGATGTATCAGCCCTGGATTTCACACACCACACACCTCAAAGGCTGTTTTGCCTGATCTTTGCATTTTGGAGGAGGAGGATGTGGAGCAAAGGAGAGGAAGGTGGGGAGAGGAGCCAGTGCTCAGTGTCTGGCAGGATTGCACAAGACCCACATTCAACTCCTCTTACAACCTCCTCCAAGATCTCGGGCAAAGATTTATTTTCTTTTCTCTGAGCTATCAAACGCACACACGCTCCACCAGTGGGTGCGATCTCCTTCAAAGCCACCATGCAGTTATTCATATATAACTTATAATCGTATATTCGCTATAACTTAGCCACAGTTCAGCCCCAAAGGAGCCCGCAGCAGTGTTCAGAGGGAACGTGTCCAAGCACAGACACAAATATCCACGCAATTCCTCCATGCAGTAGGGATGTAACGGCACATGAAGGAGAAAAACTCCAGCAATTTCCACTCCTGGCTCTACCACTGGTAAAGATGCTCTTCCCCAGTGCAAAACCAGCACTGGTTTTGATGGAGGTTCGGGATGGACACTCTCTGCCGGCTCCGGCCCGGGGCACTCACGCGTCCCACTGACCTGTCCAGGAGGAAGCGCCCATCGTCCGCTTTGTGCAAGTCGCTGCTGTTCTCCAGCCTGGCCAGGATGTCCATCCTCTTCATGAGCAGCTCCAGCATGTCGCTCATTTTCCGCAGCACCCCGCGGGACTCCAGTGCACCCATCACTGTGGCGAAGAGCAAGTGAGACACGGTCACGAGTCACGGTCACGAGCGAGGGACCATCAGGAGCCTCCACTAAGGCTCCAACCCCACCCCAGCATCCCAATCCTCACTACAGCCTCCCTGCTAAGCAGCAGCCCTCCTGACTTCCCCCTCAGATCCGAATCTTGCCTCTCCAGGCATCAAACCTCCACACGTGCCCCTGACCCAGCCTGCTTGACCCAAGCACCCAGGGGAAAGCCACCCTTTATTCTTCAACACTCCGCAAATACCTTCTCATTAAGCGCCTTTCTATTATTATTTGCTTTTATACAAAGCCCCACCTAGTCCAGCATCCTGTCTTTGCAGGCACCAGGCTTTAGGGGATGCGGAAGGAAAAGCATGAGAAATGGCACAAATATGTGGTCCGGCCCCAGCACATCCTCCTGGCAACACAGGACCTTCCTGTTTAGAGCAGAATTCCTCCTCGGCCCGCAGCAGCCGGTGGGACATGTGCCCCAGCTCGAGGAATAGCTCAGTTCTCAAAACACCAGCATGACTCCACAGCAAAAATCAAGCAAATCCCACACGGGGAAGAGCTCCTGCTTCCCATCTCTTCCCAGGGACTTGCAGGGCACCGACCCGCTCAGGTCAAAGCTCAGATGAGCGAGGCCACCAAGTGCCTGTGCTGGGACATCTCCTGGGGGCACCTTTTGTCTAGGGATGGGCAGGCTGACGTGCCCATTTCATTGCAGTGTGGCTCCTTTCATGTTCATGATAGCTTAAGTGGAGAAAATACACTGTGTTTGCCCTTAGGTGATGCTCTGGGGGAAAAAGAGTGGGAAGTTAGGAGCTGGAACTGAATTTGGTCGGAAGCCTTGCCAAATCCAGCGGAGCAAGCTCAGGAAAGACAAAACAGAAAAAAATAAATGAAGTAGCTGAGGGATGGGCTGAAGTCAGAAAATCCACAGGGGTATTTCTGTGTAGGCTTTCACCCCAGGGCTCTGTGCTGGCATCTCCAAGAGTGTCGGAGCTTGGGGAGAGGCCAACACCATGCTTGGGCATTCAACAGCTCCCACCTGATGTGCTGCTGTCACCCTGATCACTTTGGTGGAGGGTGGACTAGATCGTTTCTGGAGGTCCCTTCCAAACTCGGCACTCTGTGACTTCTGACGGAAAGCAGAGCCACCCTAGGACACGTCTCCCCCTTATCCTCATCCCAATGACCCCTCCACCGAAGCCCTTAAAGATGAATTTTGAAGCCTCATCAACACCTAGTTTCCCTGTCACTGGAGAGGTTGTTTTTCATCCTCCCCTGTTGTTGTTGCTGTTGCAGAGGCTCACGGAGGATAACAAGAGCGATTTGACATTTTTGGCAATGATTATTACATCTCTTGGAAAGCGTGCCTCATTAAAACCGGGAGCAGGGAAGGGAAAAGTGCTGAAGCAATGCTTTTGAGAAAAAATAAATAAATAAATGCAAGAGCCGGGATTAATTTGTAAACCTGAAGCGGAGTCCCAGCAAACTGCTGCTCAGCAGCCTCACAGACAATAACCACTGAGGTAGGTTACACGAAAAGGAGGAAAAAAGAAAATAGGAAGGAGAAACATCCCATCACTTTTCGATGCTGGACAGCAGTGTCTGGCAGCATCCTGCAACATTCACCAGCTTGACCATCCCCATCATTGACGAGGCACTTGGCCTCCTCTTCCTCTCATGCGATCCTCAATAGCATGGAAAACAGCATTGAGGACAGACAGGATCAACCAAAGCCTGATGCAGGAGCGTGAAAACTCAGCATCACAACCATGCAAGTCACTATTTTCTTTAAAAAAATAAAAAAAGGCACAAGAGAGCTGCTAATTTACAAAGGAGAAATAGTCTAATTACCCTTGATAATCAGCAATGATGGGAAAGATGACACAAGTAAAACTGCACAGCAGATTAATTGGAGTTTGCCAAAGTATGACAGGCTCCTGACAGCTCTGCAGAGTGGCAGGCGCTCTTTCAAGGCAATCACTGAACCTGACAGAGGTTTTCATAGCAGCACGATGAAATAATGATTGCAATCAATCACCTCGCGCTGCATTTCCTGAGACATGCTGGTAAACACGGCGCAGGGAGGGGAATTATTTACGGTGCTTCAGATGGGCGTGCAGCCCCGTAATTGGATGAAATCAGGAAAAAAAACCCCACTCATCCCCTAAGGGTGATGCCTGTTGGAAGAAGAAATAGTTTCCCCGCAAAACGAGGGGAGCAGTCGACAGCTATCTGGTCAAACTTGGATGGGTCAAAACCCTAGGGAATTCACTAGTGCTACACTCATCTTCAGGATGCCTGCTTTGAGACGCTACGTTTCTGGGCAAACGTTGATTTGACACATTGATTCGACACCAGAAGCTCTGGAAACGGGAGCCGGGGAGGAGGCACGGGGAGTTTTGCTGGACGCCACGGTGAGCGCGGGCACAGGGCACAGCCCAAAGGAGCTGCGACGGCAGCGGTGCGGGCGACGTCGCTTCGGGCAAGTTGCTTCGGCAGCAGCCAGACACTCCGGCACAGCAACCTGCTCGAAGACGCCGGGATATGTCTATGTCCATCGCAAAGACCAGCTGAATTAATTCCGATCTCAAGTGTCGCTGGCTCTGTTTTCTCTCCCTCCTTGGAAAGGCAGTCCCGAGCCACCTAAGTCCAACAACACGGCCCAACAAATGGCCATGGCTCTGAGAAGGGTTTTGGGGTAGGTGGGCTGGTTGCAGCCACTCCAGGACTGGCATTGGGAGCCCCACTTCCCTGCCCCTCATGCTCCTCTATTTACTTTCCCTATCGCTTGTGATCCGAGTGGATTAAGCGACTCAAGAGGCAACTAGCCAAAGGCTCCAACTAACCCTGACGCATAATCCATTAAAAAACACAGCTTGGAAAGGCAGCACGAGCAGCAACAAGCCAGCCCAACAAGTCCCCATCCCTGCCAAGGGTCGTGGTCCCACTTGGAGCGGCTCAAGGGCCAGCTGGGTGGCAGGGGGCTCCGGACTCAACCGGGGGATCCCTCAGTCCTCCTCCGATCCCTCAGCGCGCTATTCCCATAGAAATAAGGGGAGGCAGGAAGCTGAGCAGCGCAAACAGACTTATATTTATAGATGGGAATATTGCACTGTCCCTTGGGAGATCACGGGGCTCTCCCCTGCTCCCAGAGACCTGGGAAGGGGAGATCCATGCCGTGGGGGCCAGGATGGTCACGCCGGTCCGGAGCCACTGCTCTGCATTCGGGAAGAGGGAATAGCAGCCACTCATCCTCTCGCCAGGGCCCCATGAGGTGGGATGAGGAGCAGGAGAAAAATCACAGCCCAGCAGGAGCTGCTCTTCAGGACTATGGTGCTGGGAGCTATTTTTTACTCTTTTTTTCCCCCCCCACCTTCCTCCCTGTCACTTAAAAACAACATCCTAGCAGGGTATTTTTAGTTGTTCCTCTATTGTCAGTCAGTGCTATTTTAAATTGCATTAAGTTACTCTGCAGCGCTCCAAACACTTCAAGCTGCAGGGGAGGCTCTTTTGAACCGAGAGATTAACACCGATTTAAAATCACCTCCTAAAACCCCCGGGCTCCAGGACAGGTGTGGCTAAAGGGCTGCTGGTGCCCACTGCTAAGGACGGTGGAGACCATCCCTTGGAAGAAACGGAGTCCCGGTAGGAGCCAGAGCTCTGCAAAAAGCCACCACCAACACCCCTTTCATCTCCAGGAAGGGTCTACAGGGTTCAGGCTTAAGAAGTGGAGGAAAAAGGGGTCACGGCAGCCCCAGAGCCAGCCCCTAGTTTCAGACACCCCATCTCCATCTCCAGGTGTTCGCCTGCCCTGGAGGCCACTGTGCTGCTGGAGGAGACTCCAAAGCCCCATTCCTCCTCCTCTACACATACAGCACCAGAGCTCCCAGTCTCGTTTACAAGCAGCCCAAAATATTATGCTTCAGAAACAGCAGAACTCGCTAATTTAGCGCTTATCATTTCTGTTTCAGCCAAAATCATTGGCCAAAGCCTGCCAGGCATCTTGCCACCCTCTTGGCAGCGGGGGAATTAAATCCTCCCCTCCTCCAAAAGGATTTGCCTCCACGGGGGCATCAGCAGAAGGTGACTTGCAGCCCTGGGGCACCGGCCGAGAGCTTCGCCCAGCTCTGCCCAAGGCAAACTGAGCCCAAGTCCCTCGTTTAGGCGGAGCAACAAATAAATCAGTGGGAGAAAAGCACTTTTAGGGCAGTGCTGCGGTTCCCAGGGTGCTAGTTCTTCCTCTTGGAGTACCTGCCTGCTCCCCACTCTGGGGGAATTCTGACTCAGGAGCAAGAGGGGTAATAAAAGCATAAAGAGACACTATCATCCTCCTCAGCCTCGGCGGGCTGCTTGCTCATCGCAAGCTGATGGAAACACCATGACTTTTTTTGAGCTACAGAAAAAGGGGGAGGGAAGAAAAAAACTAATCATTCTCTAAAAAAAAAAAAAATGGTCTCTGGCTCCAACCTGTGTCAAACAGGCACTTTTCCAGGCAAGAGGCCAAGCCTTACATGCCACTTTTGCTGCTTTGTGCTGCTTTCACCCTGCAAAGCGGCCGCTCGCGCATGCCCAGCGCTTTGCACCATCCCAAATGGGGATCAGGTGGGAATGGCCCCGGCTCTCAGCTTCTGCTTGCTGCTCCTCAGCACCCCGTGCAGTCCTGCATGATCCTGGCACCAGGAGCTGGGTGCAAACAGCTCCTGACAAGGTCCCTTGGTGCAAACAGCTCCTTACAAGGTCCCTTGGTGCTGCTGCAGATGGTTGTTCGCAGCTGCTCTGCAAGTGGCATCAGGCAGCAAAGAGGCCACGGAGAACATTTTAACTCACAAACAGGCGGAGCAGGAGCAGTGCAGAGCGGGCACGGGAGGGACTTCTGCTTCACAAGGCTGCAGTGAGCCCTGTAGGACAGGTCAGCCGAGCAGGAGCTGCCCAGGGAGACAGACTGTCCCCATCACCCATTACTCAAAGACATCTCCTAGCCTCATC